GTAGAGATGAGGTCTCACTCTTGCTCAGGCTAGTCTTGAACTTCTGAGCTCAGGCAATCTACCCGCCTTAGCCTCTCAGAGTGCTAGGATTACAGGCATGAGCCACCATGCTGTTTTGTTTTTTGAAATAGTCTTACTCTGTCATGGTAGAGTGCCATGGTATTACAGCTCACAGCAACTCCAAATTCTTGGGCTCAAGAAATCCTCTTGCCTCAGCCTGCTGAGTAGCTGGGACTACAGGCACCTGCTACAATGTCCTGGCTAGTTTTTCTATTTTTAGTAGAGATGGGGGAGGGCCTCGCTCTAGCTCAGGCTGGTCTTGAACTCCTGAGCTTAAGTGATCCACATACTTTAGCCTCCCAGAGTGCTGGGATTACAGGTGTGAACCACTGTGCCGAGCCCTCAAGTGATGAGGTTGAGACGTGGGCTTGAGGGTGGAGCCCTCATGAGATTAATGTTCTTATAAGTAGATGAGGAGACAACCCTCTCTCTGCCATGTAAGGATACAGCAAGCAGGTGCCTCTGTGCAGGCCAGAAAGAGAGCCCTCACCAAAAACTGAACTGCCAGCACCTTGATTTTGGATTTCTTGGCCTCTAGAACTGTAAGTAATAAATCTGTCATTTAAGCTACCCAGTCTATGGTATTTTGCTATAGTATCCGCTCACACTGACTAAAGACAAGATCCCCAATCCAGCCCTCACACTTTTGGTAAGAACACAGAAGACAGGACCATACTGGCATTGGGAAGGCCAGGGCAGGTGATGGGGAGGGGGTTCACCTGACTCCTCGGCCACTCTGGAAAGGCCAAGGTCTCTGTGGCTTCCAGAGGGCACACCTGTGGCAATAAGGCTGGTGAGGGCAGGGAACATGAGTTGGACCTAACAGCAGGATAACTAGGAGAACCAGGGCCACGTTGCACAGCAAGGACAGACAGATGGAGGCTATGCCACCCCCTCAGACCATCATCACCAGAGTGTCTAACAGACCAACCCCTTTCCTCAGAAATTTCCTACTAGGTTTCTTTTTTCCAGTATTATATTTTGAAAAATTCTATCATACAGAAAAGTCAAAAGAATAATATGACAGACACCCATAGGCCCTTTACCCAGATTCACCAATTGTTAACACTTTGCCAACTTTGTGTTCTCTCCCCACACCCACGTGTGTGCACACGTGTACTATTGAATCATGACATGTCATCCCTAAATATATCAGCATGCATCTTCCTAAGGACAAGGACATTTTTACATAAGCTATAATGCTGGGATTACACCCAAGAAATTCAGTGTTGATTCAATAATATAATCTAACACACCATTCATTTAAAAAAAAAGAAAGCCCCAGGTCAGGGCATGGTGGCTCATGCCTGAAATCCCAGCACTCCAGGAGGCAAAGGTGGGTGGGTCACCTGAGATGGGGAGTTCAAGACCAGTCTGAGCAAGAGTGGGACCCCTATCTCTACTAAAAATAGAAAAAAACTAGGCAGGCATGGTGGCACATGCCTATAGTCCCAGCTAATTGGGAGGCTGAGTTAAGAGGATCCCTTGAATCCAGGAGTTTGGGATTGCTGGGAAGGATGATGACACCACAGCACTGTTAGCCTGGGCAAGAGTGAGACTCTACCTCAAAAACAATAAAATAAATAAACAGCCCCAGTTGGGTCCGAAAATGCCCTTCATATTATCGTTCTACCTCCACCCTGATCCAGAATCCAATCCAGGATTAAGATTGCATTTACTTGTCATGTTGCTTTAGTTTCCTAAATCTCAGTTAAACCCAGAATAGTCTCCCTGCTTGGTGTTGTGGTTCACTATACACTGGCCAACTGCCTTGGGCAAAGTCCCTATTCTGCTTCTGAGTGGAGCTGGGACCCCAGCATTGAGCTGTCTGAGTACTGACATACACAGGGTAGATTCACTCTAGTGCTCTTCAAATGACCCTTGACCTTTTGCCCATGGCCATTGTTTGGAATCCTGCTATGCAGGCACAGCTTTGCTGGAATCCACATCTCTCTTAGGTAAGAGGCTAGCAACCCTAAAATCTCAACCTACAGATAAGCCTGGAGAAAGCCCTGCTTCCTGGTTTTATTTATTTTTTGAGACAGAGTCTCAAGTTGTCACCCTGGGCAGAGTGCTGTGGCATCACAGCTCACAGCAACCTCTAACTCAGGCTCAAGTGATCCTCTTGCTTCAGTTTTTCTATTTTTTAGTAGAGATGATGAGGGTCTCACTTTTGCTCAGGCTGGTCTTGAACTTGTGAGTTCAAGCAATCCACCCACCTCAGCCTCCCAGAGTGCTAGGATTACAGGCGTAAGCCACTGCGCCTGGCCTGCTTCCTGGTTATAAAAGGGAGCACCCCTTGTTCTTGACATTGTCTGTTCATAATTCCTTGTGGGAGTGGGGCGTTCCTGAGAGCTTCCTCTGTAGCCCACCCGCCACCCATCCCTAGGAGAGCCATGAAAAGAGGTCCTAACAATCTCATTCTGCCACTGGTCTCAATCAATTTCATCCTGGTTTCCTCCGTCTGCTCTCAGGACCTCTGTCCATAAATGGACCGTCCCATCCACTTTGTCCTTGGCCACCAAGAGCGTCCAGCACCTCTGGGATGCTTCCTCAGTGATCCCCAGCAATAGCTGACAGCTGCTTCCCTGGACTCGGATCCTTCTCAATAATCAGCTTTATGAGTCGGAGGCGGCAGCTGCCCTAGCTGGCCCAGGTCTTGCTGGGAGAGAGGAGGATTGGATTAGGAGGGAAGCAGCTAATGGAAAACAAAGAGGGAGGGGAGAGGTGAGTGAAGCACAGCCCAGCTGGTTCTGGGGCAGTGACTCCCACTTACAGCAGGTGGGGTTGTCCTCCCTCCTGGGGGACAATGAAGGAGGCTGGCAGGGGGTATCACCCCAGCCTCCCAAACCCAACCTGAGTTATTTTCCCCAGGGGCCTCCTTGCCAGCTGTCTTCCGGGCTCAGGCAGAGTGACCAGCAGCACTGGAAGCTCTTAGAAACGCCAGAATCTACTTCAAAGCAATTTCTAAGCAGCTTCTTTGGTGAATTCCATCATTGGTGGGGGTGGGGGGATGACACTATGGCATCTCTGTCCCCCACAGCACCTGACTTAACATTTGCATGCAGGAGTTGAGGAAGGGCTGAGGACCTGAGCTCCATAAAAAGAGACTGATTTAAACTGAATTCTCCCATTGGGTGGATTGTCTCAGGACAGGGCGCTGCTGGAGAGAAGACAAGTCTCAAGTCATCCTCTCCGGCAGCATCGTCAGGGCTGCCTGGCACGGGAACTCCCCACAATGTGCCTTGTCCTTAAAGCACCCATTCACCTCAGAGGATGTATATTTACCCAGAAGGCAAATTATTTGAGGGCCCCAATTTAAACACCACCACTGAACCCATTATTTCAGATCTCACGTGGCAGAGTGTGCCCAAGAGCCCTGTAGAGAGTTCTTTACTGCTGCACCCCAGAGGATCAAGCTAGGACTGGTTGCCACATTCTGAGCTTCAGTCTAGAACCTGCTGCTGGGTGATAAAGGGCCAATGTGCAAACTGATTAAGAGCAGTGGAGGCCTGAGAGTAGTCCCTGCACCAGCTCCCATGAGCTGACAGGCAGGCAGGAATCCCAAATATGGGAGCAAACATAACACATCAGCACATGTCCAAACCCCCCTGCCATCAACCCCGCAAGGTCAGCAAGCCTCCCCACGAAAGAACAGCAGGCCTGGGGCTCCCCTGTAGCCAAGCTCAGCTTCCTGCTAAAGGGGAGAACCTACTCCAATGACAATTAGTCACCCACATGTCAAG